GATTTTATTATAATTTATATATATTTATATAATAAAATACATTGTGTTGTGACTATATTTTATTAAATTATATTTATTTATTTTATTGAAATTTTTTTTAATAGAATTTGATAAAATTAAATTATTAAAAATTATTTCATATATTGCTTATAAGTTTTATAAAAATTGTAATATAAAATTGTAATATAAATTTTATTTTTGAAATCATATTTTTTGATATACTCTATATCACTAACTCAATAGTCTATGTTATAAAAAATTACAAAACTACAAAACAATAATAATATCATAATTAGTAATGGACACAATTATACATTAGTATTTTGATAAAAAAAGTAATATTGCTTATGCTTTGAAATGGTATATGTATATCTTACTAAATATAAGCTATTAAACATTGGAATGCTTGATTTGTTTACGTATTGTTCTATTATTTGTGCCTGGCATGCCTCTCCACAGCAAACTACACTCCCTCGCATAACATGAGACAGAATAGCAATTTTTTCATATTATAAACTTATTGTTGAAAAATATAAATAAAATGAATTTCTATTAGTTTATGCATACTAGAATTGAATAGTGCTTTCAAATGTTCATATTATATTATAAACTATTTGTTTTCAATAAAAATTCATAATAGTAATAAAAAATTTGTATTGAGTGAAAAAAATTTACAGAATGCTTTAGATTTTTTAAATCTTAGTTATAATTGTATCATTAGAAGTTTTTGTTAAAATGATTACAATGAAAGCAAATCATGTCTGATGTTGTAGCGATGACGAGTTTTCTCTGCGATTTGGCACCCCAGCTGGGCTGCTGGCTGGCTGCTCGCCAGATGCATATAATGATGCTGCGTGTTGTGATGCGTGCTCCATTGACCTTCTTTGATACAACTCCTACTGGTCGTATTATCTCCAGATTTGCTAAAGATGTCGACGTACTGGACACATCTCTTCCTCAACAAATTTCTGATAGCATCTATTGTTTGTTTGAGGTAATTTTTGAAAATATGTGAATTAATGATGAGATTTTTTTCTTTTAAGTATTGTTATTTCGTTTCTATAATTCCTTAAATCATAATTCATTGGATACTCATATAATATTGTCTATATAATCGTATACTTATATAAATAATAAAGATATATTCACTATATCTTTTTTTCCTATATGAGTCTATAAGTATATAATAATATTAATTCATTCTACTATAAAATTTTATTAATATCTTATATTTTATTTATTATTTACATTATTTCAATTAACTCTTAATAAACTTAAAATAATTGATAAAAATGCATAATTTTAAAAAATAAATAATAAAGTATAATTGTGTCCATTCTAATAAATTATAATTATATATTAAAATTAAAAAATATTTAAAAAATATATGCTTGTAATGGTAGAAAAAAATAGTGCAAGTATTCATTAATTAAAAAAAGCTTTTATATTGAATATTAATGTCTGGAAAAAATGTGGGTGTTTCAAAAATTTGCATGGTCATTAATTCATGAATTCTTTATTTGAAAACTGATTCTTGATTATTTTATGACTGTATGATTGTATATATATATATTTGTATGCATTTATTTATGTATATATGTATTTTTTTTTGTCTTTTATTTTTCATGTTTAAATGTTAAATTAATTTGTTTTTCATCTTATTTTTTAAATAGAAATAAATTTAATAAATTATTTTCTTTTTTACTAAATATTATTTTTATATTGCAGGTTATAGCCACTTTAGTGGTTATAAGTTTTAGTACCCCAATATTTATTTCAGTTATAATACCAATAAGTGTAATATATTATTTCGTTCAACGGTTATATGTTGCATCTTCAAGACAATTAAAACGTTTAGAATCTGTTTCAAGATCTCCTATATATTCGCATTTCAGTGAAACAGTTTCTGGTATGTTTTATATATTATGATAATTATGATTTATAATTTATATATCTATTATATTCAAAAATATTAATATAATTATGTAGATGTAATATTAATATTTGATTATTAGGAGCACAAATGATTAGAGCATTTGGAGTACAAGAACGATTTATTAATGAATCCGAAAGTAAAGTAGATTTCAATCAAGTATGTTATTATCCTAGTATAATTGCAAACAGGTATAAATTTTTCCTAAAAATTTCAATATTAAATTAAAATATATTTAATAATATTTTAAGATTATATAAATTATATTTATATAAATTGTAATAATGTTATTTATTGTTTTTTTTTAGATGGTTAGCAGTACGTTTAGAAATGGTTGGAAATTTAATCATTTTTTTTGCTGCATTGTTTGCTGTATTAAATAAAGACACTGTAAGCTCTGGTTTAGTTGGATTATCTGTTAGTTATGCATTACAAGTAAGTTATATCTGTAAATAAGATATACAAAAGATATACAATAGATATACAAACAATAGATATAAGATATCTCAGGATGCATAGTATATGAATTTCAAGCCAAATTGTTTGAAAAATGTTTAAATATTAATTATATAAAATAAAATTTTATTTATTTTTTTCAATTTATATTTGCATCTATTCTGATATAAACTTAATACAAATAACAGATATAAATTAGATTAAAATAATTAAAATAATAAGATAATAGTAAAATATATATAAATATTTAATAATATATATAAATATTTAATTAACAAAAATTATTTAATTTAATTAACTTAATTTTTAAATAATTTTTTGATAAAAATTTTTTAGGTTACTCAAACATTGAATTGGTTAGTACGAATGACTTCTGATGTTGAAACTAACATTGTAGCTGTAGAAAGAATAAAAGAATATGGAGAAACCCCTCAAGAAGCATCATGGAAAAATCCAGATTATACACCACCTAAAGAATGGCCTGTACAAGGAAGAGTAGAATTTAAAGATTATAAAGTTCGTTATAGGGAAGATTTAGAACTTGTACTTCGTGGATTATCGTTTTCTATTAAGGGAGGAGAAAAAGTTGGTATTGTTGGTAGAACTGGTGCTGGAAAATCATCTTTAACATTGGCTTTATTCAGAATAATAGAAGCAGCTGATGGACAAATTTTTATTGATGATATTGATATTGCCAAATTGGGGCTTCATGATTTAAGATCTAGACTAACTATTATTCCTCAAGATCCTGTATTATTCTCAGGAAGTTTAAGAATAAATTTAGATCCTTTTAATTGTTATACCGATGATGAAGTTTGGAGAGCTTTAGAACATGCTCATCTTAAATCTTTTATAAAAAGTAAATACTATCTTATTAATAATATTGAAAAATATATAAAAAATATAATATTTTATCATATTTTAGATTTACCAAATGGTCTTTTATATGAAGTATCAGAAGGTGGAGAAAATTTAAGTATAGGTCAACGGCAATTAATATGTTTAGCAAGAGCATTGCTTCGAAAAACAAAAGTATTAATTCTCGATGAAGCAACAGCTTCAGTCGATTTAGAAACGGACGATTTAATCCAACAAACAATTAGACAAGAGTTTAAAGATTGCACAATTCTCACAATAGCTCATAGGCTTAATACAATTCTTGATTCGGACAGGTATGTTTTAAAATTGTAATATACTATTTTCAAGCTATTAATTGATATTTAATAAATAATATTTAGGATCATTGTCTTGGATAATGGACGCATTGTGGAATATGATTCTCCAGAATCATTATTACGTAATTCATCTAGTTTGTTCAGTAGTATAGCTAAAGATGCAGGCCTTGCTACATAAATAAAATCCATATCGTAAATATTGTACAAGCAATGAAATAATAATTTTAAATCTATGATATAATAATAAAAAAGAAATATAGTAAATCATTTATATAGACAAATATAAAGTATGCTTAGATTTGGAAGAATGAAAAATTTTGTAGAGCAACATTTTTCAGTCAAATCATACATAGTTTTAAATAATGCCAAGCACAGCCTATTTGTAAAGTAGTACGGATATCCGTTACTTAAAGTACTGCCATTTTAGCAGCACATCCTGTGCTTAATAGAAAGTGTTTTTAAATGTACATACATATTGTTTTAGTAATTTTACTTTAACAAGCCTATCTTGAGCAAACAATATATGAAATGTAAGCAATGTACAAAATACAACAGTATTGTTTAGTTTCTTTTATTTCCATTAAACTTTATTAACATTCATACTGTCTTATTTTTATTTTTCAAGAATAATTATGTATAAATATGTAATGCGATTTATTTTTTGCTGTTAATTTGTCTTTGTTAAAATTATTTCGCTCTGTACTGTACTTTGACAAGTATGATAAATTTCAAGCTATGTAAATAGTATTCTCTAATATTTATGAATTTAAAAAAAATAAAAAGATTACAATTTTATATAATACAAAAGTTTTATTCTTATTATTTAATGTTTTATTTTTTCCAATATTATAATATTATACTTATGTTATATATATTATATATTAATTGAACAAGATAAAAGATTTATGCTATGCATTTTTATGATTTATAAAAAAGAATATAGTAAAAATTTCATTTTAGCTTATTTATAATTTTTGATAATCATTTTGAATAAGCAATAATGTATATTTTCATTATAATTATTTATTATTGTTACTAGTTATTAATAAAATTATTGAATATTTATTATTAAGTTCATAGATTGAAATTAAGATATCAAAGATAAATATAAAAAAATTTATGAATAATAGTGTAATTTTTTTTATAAATATCTGAAAGTAATATTGTATTAATATATTAAATATAAATTTTATTAAATTATAAAAATACTATATATTGCAATTTATATTTTAAATTATTAGTCTATATTACATTATCACTTTATACCATATTTGCAAAAAAGATTGATTATCTAAATTATCAGTATTTCTATTTTGCTTCTTGGTTATAAATAAATTCAATAATTAATAAAAATTAATTTATAAAATAACTATTAATATTATTTTTTGAAAATAATCATATCATATTTCAAAATTAATAAATTATATTAAAATGGAATAATTTTTTTTTATTAGTTTTCTATATATAATGTTATTTAACTGTCGACGATTATGACAAAATTAAATATTCATTGAAGACACTGATTTATTAAAAACAATGATTATAATTTTACCTAAAATTGAGTATAACTTATAACATATTTATAACATAAATTTGTTCGGAATTCTTTTGCAAAATTTTATTCATTACATAAGCAACAATAAACTTAAAATATTGATACAAGAATTATATTATTCATAATTATATATGGTATATATATGCAAAATATATAATATTATTTCTTATTTAAATTATTCATTAAAATATTTGTGTGCATATATATGTAATCCAGGTCATTTCATGTACATGTATATAAACATACAATTCGCAATTCGAGTTACTTTTTAAACATTCAAATAAACTTTATATCTTGACATGATATCAAATAATAACAATTACTACAAAGCATTGAAATATAAATGAAACGTAAATATAAGTCTAAATCAAAGCATAATAACAATTGTTTCTTAAAGATAATATATATGTACTTATATCATTCTTTACAATCATACTAAATCTTGTTCTGATATTCTGCCAATTGCAATGGACATGAAAATTCTTATTCAAGCATATCAATGTCTTTGCAAGGCTTTTTAATTGGCTAGATGGAAACCAGAAGAATATATATACATACACGTGTAGTTATATCAAACTGATAAAGATATTTATTAATGCGTATAGATATATATCCTTTGGTACTAATAAATTTATTAATTTAAGATAAAGTTTGAATAATATTATTAATGCTAAAACATTATGTACCAAACATTATTCGTTTTTTTTATTTGCTTCATTTTTTGCACGATCTTTAATAAATTCTTGTTTTTTATCCTTAGTTATTTTAGCTTCCATTTCACCAGAAAAACCAAATTCATTTACTCTAGTATGATCTGTTTTATATATCCATCTTTGGTATAAAAATATAAAGAAAACGATATCATCTCGGAAGCAACCAATTCTATATAATGTAGGCATTTTTATCACAAATGCAAAGATGTCATCAATAAATGTATTTAGAAATTTGTAAGACATCATGCGCCATGGAAGATGTGCTACACTTTTTAACTTATAATTAATAAATAATTGTGGTGTCATCATAATAAATCCAAATGTTAGTAAAAATCCATAAAGCATACTAAGAACCCAAGAATACCATCCTTTATGTTCTAAATACATCAACGAATAAATAGCATATCCTCCTAAAAGAGGATAAAGGGTCCATGATAAATATTTAAAAGCAAGTCTATCGTATTCTTTTGTGGAAGATTCTACATATGATCCTTTATCGTGAAAACTTATTTTTGGAAAAATACCAAATATTTTTGAATTTTTATCAACAGTAATATTTACAACTTTATTGATTTTCCATACTTCTATGCATAAACCTATTGCGCAACTAATTCGAACGACTGTATTTGTTTCATTATCAAGAACATATAATAAAACAATCAAAGATTGAAAAACATTAAAAAATACAGATCGAACTGATAGACCTTCCAATGAATTACGATTATTCCAAAACTGTATATCTGCAAAAACATATAAAAATTATATTATAAATTATTTATAATATTTCTAATTGCATGTAAATACATGTTATGAATATTAATTGTCTTGTCTCTCTAAACGTGGGTGCAAAATTATATATTAAATTATATGTTACAAATTTGAAAAATTTCATAACATATAAAGATATAATTTCATAATTTCTTAAGTAAATATATAAATAGTATATATAAATTTTATATTATGTTATATTATATATAAATTTTATACATAAATTTTTTAATTGATTTTATTTGTTAGTGAATTTATCAATATATCTATTACTTAATTATCAATTCAAATAGTTAATCATATCTATTTACAAAAATTAAATTATTTATTTTTAATCTTACCATTTTTAAATGCCAAAAATTCAAATACACTATGTAATACTGATACAATTATAGTTAAACCCAATAAATAGGGATTTGTTTCTAATAATGTTTCTTTCAAAGTATCTTGATCATTTTCATCTTCGTCTGATGAATCTCCTATATAAAAATATTATTAAAATTCTATTTTTAGTTATAATTAATTTTATTGCTGAAATAATATACCCATAAGTGAGGATGTCCACTTATTCCTCATTGTTTGAGCTGCATAAATTTGCCATTTAAATAAAGAAAGTGGTTGATAAGTTAATTTAAGTTCAAGCTCTTTTATAGTATCATTTAAAGGTTGATAGTCTCTTTGCATATTCCAAAAATCATTCATATATATTACAGGCTTATAAAATTTCTCACCAGGTAAAAAATGAATATCTGTTAAAAAATAAATATTATTTTTCTTAAACATAATAAAAATTTAAAATATTAAAAAAAAAAACTTACATGTATCTAAAGGTGGTGACACTTGACCATATACCCAATTAGTATGATCTGTTACTAAATTAATAGTTAAATTTGGATGCCAATGTGATACATATTCTTGATTCATTAATTCAGCTTTCTGAAATGAATATTTAATATCTTTAATTTAATATATATATAATATATTTATTTAATGATTTAATGATAGAATATAATCACACCTCAATTTCTTCTTTACTTGCAGTAGTTTCACCAGTTAACAAATTGTGCTTTTTTTGATATCTAACTTTCTTAAATTTATTTAACATTTTTGTAGAATTTGACATATAATTTCCTGCATAAATATTTTTCCCACTTTTAGGATTTGGAGATTTTCCACTTTTTGTAATATATACATGAAGATATATAGATCCATTATTTTTTAATTGATCAGATGGAATAAATTTATAATTTTTAACTTTTGAACCATCTTTAAATGGTCCACTATACCAATCTCCATATATTAAACCTTGTTCTAACCATATTAATGTTCTGGGATCATCAAATTCCTTAAAATTTTCTGATTCTGATAAATAAACATGTAAATCAAATAGAGTTCCATTTTCAAATATATTTACAGTTTGTAAAGATTGTGCTGGATTAACAATGCCAGAAAACTGAGAATTGTCAGTATGAAGTCGTCTAAATAGATGACTAATACAATAAATAATAAGAGCACGTATAATTAATGATTTTGTTATAGCAAAAAATGATTCTAGATGCGTTCGTTGATATTTTTTCCTTTGTTCATCAGTATCTACATTTACCTATATATAAATTAAAAAAACAATTTCTATAATAAAATATTTCAGAAAGATTAAATCTTAATTAATATTTACGATATTATTTTCAAATGAAACAGGTAACAGCAACTATTTACATTTCATTTAACATATCATTAAACAATCATTTTAAATTATAAATTTATCAATTTGGTAAATTTATATTTATATATTACATTAGAATATAATTTTTAAAAATTTTCAATTCGAACACGTGAAATATATATGAAATTAAACCTATTAGTTTTAATAAAATATGATAAGTATTTTCAAATGAATTATAAAATAAGATAATAAAAGATAATATAATTAACACACATCTCTCTCCTCGTTGTTTTCTGTAGAAATTACTTCTCCATTTTGTCGATTGTTATCCATATTTTCTTTGATTTCTATTTCCTCACGATCGTGATTATCATTTTTAGTACCCACCATTTTTGTATTCATGTTTTCCATATATTCTCTTTGAGTCTTCAGAGGGAGACACATATATATTAATATTACCGGATGTACAATGTACAATATACAATATATTTCATAATCGTTCGCTTAATTTAAATTTTTCATATTTAATCAAATAATTTAAAATATGTACAATGAAATATATTTATAATCTTTTATAATTTATTAATCTTTCTTGCATATATAATATATAAATTAATTTTTTGTAACACATTATAAATATTTTATAATCATTTGAGACATTATTTTCAGAAAAATATAAAATAAATTTATTTATTTTCAATTTTCTATGTAAATTTTTTTCAATAAATGTTTTTAATTTTTCTCATTGCATTACCACTAGTGATATTTAAGGAAGGTAGAAAGAGCTAATTAAGATTGAATTTTAAAAAATCATATGTTCCGGCGGGAACAATGTGATATCTTGTAACGGGTTAGATGCAACTTATTATTTATTATTTTTTTTATTATCTTAATACAATTTTTTATATTATTATATCACTTTTCTAAATTAAAACTATGTGGTGTACAACGCCTGAAATTTCATGGCATAATCGTGATCCAGTTTTGAGTATTGATATACAAAATGGAATTTATAAAACATCAAAGGATGAAATTTTTTGGCGAGTTGTAACCGGAGGTGCTGATTCACATATTTTGGTAATATTATACAAATAATTTGTCAATTAAATATAATATATGAATATGGCTTTGAATTACTTTTTTAAATCAGATATGGCATTTAACAATGAATGAAAATGGAGGTGCTATTGTGAAATGCGTTGCTGATTTAGAACGACATCAAAGAGCAGTAAATGTAGTGCGATTTTCACCGTCAAAAAGTATTTTAGCTTCAGGAGACGATGGTTAGTAAAATTTATATTAAGAATTAATTAAGAAAAGTAAATTAAAATATATTTTATAGAATCAACCATAGTTTTGTGGAAACAAAAGGAGGATTGTGAATTTTTTATTACTTCTGAAGAAACTAAAGATAAAGAACAATGGATTTCTTGGAAAGTATTAAGAGGACATCTTGAGGATGTCTATGATATCAGTTGGTCTCCAAATTCTAATATGTTAGTTTCTGGATCTGTAGATAATACAGCTATTTTATGGGATATTCACAAAGGACGTTCTGTAGCAATATTATCTGATCATAAAGGTTTTGTACAAGGTGTTTCATGGGATCCTTGTAATCAATATATATGTACGATAAGTACAGACAGGTATTCAATTTTAATAATATCTTTGTTATCTTTAACATATTTATATATAACAAAATTATACAATTATAGAATATGCCGTTTAATTGATATAAATACTAAAAAAACAGTGCAACGGATTTATAAGGCAAAAATTCCAACTCGAGCAGATCATCCAATAAAAGATAAAATAGTACGCTTATTTTATGATGATACTTTTAAGTCATTCTTTAGAAGATTAACATTTTCTATAGATGGATTATTACTTATTGTACCTTCTGGTATAATTGAGCCTATAGAAACATCAGAAAGGATATCTAATACAACTTTAATTTTTTCAAGGCATAATTTAAAAGAGTAAGTTTATTGATATATAATATAACATAATATATTTTATAATTTATAATAATTTTATTTTCAGACCTCTTGTACTTCTACCTTCTTTAGATGAATGCACTATTGCAGTTCGATGTTGTCCACTTTATTTTGAATTACAAAAAAATGGTCCAACACCAATAATAGCTTTGCCTTATCGAATGGTATTTGCTGTTGCAACACAACACTCAATAATGATATATGATACTCAACAAATTTCGCCAATTGCTGTAATATCAAATATTCATTATACTAGATTAACTGATATTGCATGGTAAGAAATGATTACTTAATATTGTTAAATGAAAGAAAAAAAATAATCTATCATTTTTAGGTCAGATGATGGTAGAATTTTAATTGCATCTTCAACAGATGGTTATTGTTCTATAATACATTTTCAAAAAGGTGAATTAGGTCAAGAATATAAAAAACAAAGTGATATTCCAATAAAATCTGATAGTATTAATAATAATTTCAAACAATTTTCAACATCAAATTTTAATATTAAAAATGTATCTGAAAAACCTACAACCACTGTTGATATAGATAATAGTGCTATAGATATTGACATAAAACATGAAATAAAAAAAATTCTTAATGAAAATTCACAAAATATTAATGAAATAAATGAAAATAATAAATTATTAAATCACACAACTAAACAAAAAAGAGACTTAGATAATAAAATGGAAATTGAAGAGACTGAAGATATTAAATTAGTTTATAATGAAGAAAGTACTAATGAAGTTGTTAAAGAAAATATAAAAGATATATCTCAAAAATCAGAGGTACCATTAATAATCCCTAGTAAAATACCTCGAAGAGTACAATTAATTACACTTTCTAGTCCAAAAGGACTTAAAAAAGAATAATCTTAACTTTGAAATATGACTAGTAATTATAAAATATATTTACATAGTGCATATTTAAATATTTACATATATATATTTTTGTAATATTTCGTTTTATAATTTTTATTATTACAATAAATATTTTAATGATAAATTTAATCAAATTTATTATTCATTTCATTTATTATATATTCATATATATATATTCATATATATTCATTTGTTTATATTATATATATTGTTGATATAAGTAATTGATTAATTGTTATATATTATTAATATATAACATTTTTAAATTGTACATGAAACAAGTAATAAATTTGTTAATAAATTTTAATCAATTTTCTATCTTCTTTATTTAGTATCTTTCTTCTTTATTTAGCAAATAAAATAAAATTCATTTAAGTCAAGAACGATTTTAATGATATTTATATTTTAACTATTCCTGTACTATAGTATTTTTTTACTTTGTCACCTATGATACTTAAAACAGATATTATATACCTAGGAATAATAATATGGCGTATCACAGTGATCTAACTATTCATTGAGTCAGACAGTAGTCGGATTGTGGTTCGTTCTGACACGATTTTTCATCTTTGAGAATTATTATCAATAATGGTAAATATTTCATTTATTATATATTGCATTATTATTTCATATATTCATATATTGAAAATAAGTATAAATTATAATTGAAAATCATAATTATAATATTAATTATAATAAAAATTATTTATAAAAAAATTATACTTAAAAAATTATTTAATATTATTTTGTAAATATTTATTAAAAATTTTTATAATATGAAATAGATTAAACTACATAATATATTATTATTAATAAAGATTTCCAAATTATAATTATAAATTTCTACGATAGCAAATTATAATGCAAAACAATGCAATATTAATATTATCTATAGCCAAAGTATTATATAATTATAATGTATTATACTTTCTTCTAGTTTAATCGACCGATTAGAGAATTGTCAATAGAAAATCCTGAACAAAATAGTTTCCCAAGTTAAAATATAAACACAAATACAACGAATATTATAATTGGAAAAATATTTCAAAAAATTGAAAAATCGATTTTTAATTACCATGATATAAAATATAATAAATAAATATTTCAATTTATATATTTAAACCTTCAATACTTGAATATAAATTCAAATAACTATGTATTATGTAAATAATATTTATTATTGTTCTCAAAAAATATATATTTAAAATATTAATAATTGAACTATTAATATAATTAATAGTAATTAATATTTCTAATTAATATTCTGTTATAATTAATATTTCACAATTTTATAATAATTTTATATAAAATCATTAGATTTGCTATTACATATGTTTAAAAAAAAACTTATTGCAAAAAATATTACAAAATATTTATTGCAAAATGATGAAAGACGCAATTATTTATTTGACAACGATATTTTAACGTTACTTAAATGAACGAAATTTTAATTACTTAATGTTATTATGTATAAATATTTAATTTTTTTTAATTTGTATTTAATAAATATATTTATAATTGTACACAATTTGTCTATTATATGTATATATATAATATATAATATAATATAATAAATATATATATATATATATATATATATATATATATATATTAAAAGGAATCGAATTATCAACCGTTTTTTCTATCGCGCAAAGATCTTCTATTTGCAGAATTGCAAAATTGTGTCACGCATAAAACGATATTCGATTAAGCTGCTATGGTTACAGTATGTCAACCTGTAAAAATCGATTTTTAACGTGATATAAATGTAAAATATATGCATTCCGAAAATATGTACGATCTCCTATGTTTTATGTGCAAAGCATGATCTATCGATCTATCTTTACAACGATGTGACTTTCTTTTTAGATCATGATTAATAATGATGATACAATAGGTCAAGGTAAAAAAGCTTTGCAACTTACTGACAGGTATAAAATTACTTTATGTCGATAGAATTTCAGTTCGTAATCACATTGTGTTGAGTGCATTAACTGAAGTAGTTTAAAAACATTAAATTTAACAATAAGTGATTCAATATTTAGTAAATCAAATTATTTAAATGATTCGATTGGAAAAATTTAATTTAATATTATTTCATATATTTTTAATAATAAAAGATATTTCCTTATGTTTTTAAAGAAGAAAAACTTGTATAATTTATATTTGAAATGTTTAATAAGAAAATATTTATATATAAATAAATAATTTATAATAACATAAAAATTTCATTAATCTATAATAAAATAAAAAAATAAAAGTGATATATATAGCATAGATAATTCTAAAATATATTTAAATGTTATTTTTAAATATTTTTTCGTTTTTTTTATTTTTTATTAAACACAATTATTTAAATAAAATTATTAACTATTAATTATAAAGAGTATTCTATTAAAAGAATGGCGAAAAAAGTATGATATTTAAATTTTAAACAAAGTTAAATAGTTTGTAATTAATTTTTCTTAATGACACTTAAAAATATCTTTAATCTTTTTAAAAATTTAAATTAGTATATTTTTTATTTCTTTTCGATTGAAAGAAATTATTAATTAATAATAATGTT